TGTTAAGTCCCATGAGTACATTTACTGGAATAGCTCCTTAGGCTCTCAGCGGTTATGTAGAGAAAAAAAAAGCAAACTCTTCTGATCAGGTAAGCTAATAAAAAAGAAGAATTTTTGTAAATTAAACGGTTGTCTAGAAGAGATCGCTTTTAGCGATAAGACTGCCTATTGTACAAATGTATCTGCTTGTTGGCTGTTTTATAATGTTAATTGTGTTTTGGTGTGCATTAAAGTATATCCTCTCTCTATTTACAATACCATGCGTCTTAATTATGAGTTGCATTAATATTTTAGTTTAGTGAATCCAGATTTTTTGCACAATTTTATAAGTTTAAGGGACTATTATCGCGGATCAATTGAAAAAGGTGATTTACGCCTACAATCGACAAATTGACTTCCGTTCAAAGATAAGGAAGTGGGTTTATTGATAAACGCAGCGGGAAACGGGGTCGTGACTAGAAGACTGTTAATAGTATTCGATATTATCTTACATTCCACAAAAATAACGGCGCGGCGTATCGTACGTTTTTTTGTTGTTTTTTTATCAAGGTATGCTGGTAGCCTTGAGAGGTTATTTCAGTGTAACATTAACTAGTAGGTGAGCTCACGGGGCTCAAACCTAACCCCCCTAGCAAGTGCAGTGCTTCGCAGAACTACCACCAGATCGGAAGCGCGACCCACTGAGAAGATCGGGCGAGAAACTCAGTGGGCTGTAGACACAGCACAGTGTAGTGTAGTGTAATTCACAGAGTTGAGTTAATTTACTCGCCGAGCCCTTCGTCGCAAGCGACGGGTTCGACCAGAACGATGGACGATGTACGTTTCGATAAAGTTTCATAAACAGTTATTCTATTAAAATAGTAACTGCAATTTTGTTTTTGATGATCAGGTAATAATGAAATAGAATGATAAATTATGACGAAAATTATTAGTGACTTTTTCATTACCAAAATACTAATAGTAATGTAAATGTAAATTATTACAATTATATAATCAGTATTTAAGACAATATAGATTTATGCATAATTGTTTGTTAAAAGCAATCATTTAAATTGAAATTCAAGTGTGCAATTTTATTGTTTACACTTCAGATTACATACGCTTAGCACATTTCTAATGTTCTTACTTACTTACTAATCTTACTTACTCACTAATTATTTATCATAATCTCCATCAAAATAGATTAAGTTCTGAAAATTTTACACCGCACAGATTTTATTTTTGTTTTTTAATGATAATGTGCATTAACGCCATATGAGCGGTACAATTGGTTTTAAGCGTTCATTGCAGACGATGAATATTACGTTTGTCCACCTTGAGATATACGATCAACGCTACGAATAATAAAACTATATTAGTAGGATCAAAGACTATATTATAGTGTTCATTTGAACAGTAGTGAAATCTGTGCTGCGTTTATATTGTGATTTTTTGTTTTTGTAAATCGCTATCGCTCAAACATGTTATTGCTTCCTTAATCTAAGCACAGTCACAAAGCGCAAGGTCGATTTCGTGCGTGGGAAAATGTTTCACTTGATCTGATTTTAATAATTATATTTTGTTCTCTATTTTATATAATAATAATTTTGCATGACAGCACGTTTCGGGTGTGGCAGTTTTGTACGCCACTCTTTCATATAAACCAGTGGTTCCTCAGTAGTCGAAATTCGATTATAATTAATTGAAATTATAAGTTTGAACATTATTGTGGTTCTATTGTCAACGACTATTAATACTTCTATAATCACAGATTTCACCAAGACTACACTTTACACAAATAATATTTAATCTATTCTCAATTTGACCACCGACTATAAACAATAAGAAAAGTTTGACAAAAAACAAATAATATGCATGCATGTGTGTGTCAAATACATGATATAGTAGTGTGTAATATTATTTTTAGTGATTTAATGTATTTTTTAGGCATAATTTAAAAAAAAAAATTAACATTCTGCACTCCTTTTCTCTATATTCTCTATAAGTGTGGGAAATTTCATACTCCTCCGTTCGCGCAATTTTCGTAAAAAGGTATACAAAGTTTTTCTTTCACGTATTCATATATAGATAAGCAGCACGCGAATGCATCTCTTGCAAACATGCTTTAGAGTGGTTTTATTTTTGTGGTGTATTTTAATGATTGTTTTTATTTATTATTCCAAATTAATATTTATCTCACTTTTTTTTATGATTGAGGGATTACTGGTGGCTCAAAAGCCTCTTCATTTTCACCAGGACAGGTGGGCGAGCAAAGGCTCAGCCAAGTTATCTCACTCTGTTACTTTTTGTGGATATGTTTTTTTTATTGGTGCTAGAACCTCTTCTGAGTCCGCGCGGGTAGGTACCAGCACCCTGCCTATTTCTACCGTGAAGCAGTAATGCGTTTCGGTTTGAAGAGTGGGGCAGCCGCTGTAACTATACTTGAGACCTTAGAAATTATATCAAGGTGGGTGGCGTATTTACGTCGTAGATGTCCATGGGCTCCAGTAACCACTTAGCACCAGGTGGGCTGTGAGCTCATCCACCCACCTAAGCTATAAAAAAATAGATAAGGATTTTCTCTGTATATTAATAAAATCGCCTGGTCTCAGCTTCCACTATTTATTTACAAATTTATTATTATTATTATTAATAATTAATTATTCCTTAAACATTCATTTTTTTTAAAGTATACCTTAATTCTTTTACCTTACATATGACGCCATGATACCAAGTAAAACGCAATTCACGTTACAAAAAATCGATAAAACTATCGAATAATTATCCGAAGTCTTTCAATAATACCGACAAAATCGATTAATGAATCATAATTACCTTAACAAATACGAGCCTTATATACACACGAAGGTATTTCATAGGTAATTATTGCGGACAAAAGGGAGATATTCAACAATAGTATTAATGGGATTTATTATTAACTGGTAACATGGGCGAGTTATCTATAGAAAAGTTTAATTCATAGTGTTTGAATATTAAATTAATGGATTTTATCGATAAAAATATCGAATATTAGTTTGAAATCTTTATAAGCGAACTAAATATTGAATATTACGCACAACGATATAGATGGCTGGAAAGAAAAATGTGATATCGATTTTTTACTATCGAATTGGTACATCCCTATTATAGCGCATCCGGGACATTAAAAAAAGAGCCGCTGTGTTCATCCATATTACATTTCCAGAGATTTTTGCCCCGTACCACCAGGATGGTAAGTTCTGGAATGCTATCACCTCCAAGTTATTTCCTTTGCGTTATAATCTATCCTCAAAATCTTTAAAGAAAATTTTATCGCTAGTAACTCATCATTACGTAACTTAGCATGTAATTATGTAACTTAGTTCTATGGATTTAGACTGAGTATTATATTTTCAAACCCTAATAAAAAAAAATGGCGACGGCTTGGATCTTTCCTCGGAATTACCACGGCCAGGAAAAAGAAACTATTTACCATTTAATCGTAGGGGGATTTGTGGTCGCTTACCACCGAAATTGATTAATCCAGTATAAACAAAGTCACGTCCAATAGATAGTACTTACTATTTGTAAGTTAAAGTAATGTCCCACATAAAATATCTGTGTATCATGATTATACTGCTTTTTTGTCAATGAAATGTTTTTGATAGAAACGTCAGTCAGGGAGCGGCGTATTTGTCTATGGTCTTTTTTAAAAATCTAAATCGATAAAGGGAGAACAATGTATGCTTTTTTCGTTTATTCGTCACCGGTAGGTGTATTTTAGAGTTAATAATGGTGAACAAAAGGACAAGTGAAACTTTAAATGGACCGAACACAGTGTAATAATAGGAGTGTAATGAGATTGTTTATGTTAAACTGTTTTTTATAGGGACTCAAGGAAACTAGTGTTTTTTTTCCCTGCCTATTCTGATAGCCTTGACAGGCTGTTTCAGCTTCTCCTTGACGTGTAGGTGAGCTCACGGTGCTCAAACCGGGAGTGTTGCTAACACTGGCCCTAGCAAGAGCAGTACTTCGCAGAATCTACCACCGGATCGGAAACACAGCCCACAGTGAAGATTCGGCGAGAAACTCAGTGGGCTGTGTCTATGAGTTAATTCAGCTAGTATTGCTTATCCGTACATTGCGGTTCATAGACCCATTAAAAATTATTTGACCGGAATAAAATGAACTAAAATTAGCACATATCCTGTCGTAACTGTTATTGTTGTAAACGAAACATCGATGCAATGACATTATTAAGTAATATCTCATCATTATTGGTAAGGTGCTTTTTTTCAGTCTTTTATCTAATCTGACAGCTTCGAGGGGCTATTCCAGATTCATTAAACTGATAGGCGGGCTCACAGGCTGACCTTGAGAGACTTTGTTAACATCGGCCCTAGCAAGAGCGGTTTCTGAATCTACCACCGGATTAGAGACGCGACCCACTGAGAAGACCCGGCGGGGAACTTAGCGGGTTTTGTCCGTGGGTTAGGTTGCATGTCAAACTCTTCGATGTGCCAGGACGAGTTTGATGAGAACAGTGCTTGGAATGCCTAAAAGCACCAAGGAAGAGGTGTACTTAACTGTCCATTTTGCTTTGCACATGTTTAATCTAATATATAAAATTCTCGTGTCACAATGTTCGTTCCCATACTCCTCCGAAACCGCTTGACCGATTCTCATGAAATTTTTTATGCATATTCAGTAAGCCTGAGAATCGGCTACTTATTTTTCTTACCCCAAAGTGAGTAGGGTTGTCCACCCCTAACATAATTTTTTTTATTTGGAATTTTTTTTTGTTATAATGAGGTATTATGTGGTTGAATGAGGTTTTGTTATTTTTATTATATATTCCCTCATCATTCACAGCACTACATACCTCTTTCACTCATTTACCACATCCTTACACACTTACAATAAGTTAGTTTTTTTTTCTACACGAAATCTTATATATGGCAAAACAATGTTTGCCGGGTCAGCTAGTATTAGTGTAATATTGATAGTAGAATTGTAGGTAAGTATTTTAATATTGTACGTACCAAATAAGTCTGAACAGTTAGAACAGAAGTTACGGTGTAATCTGAAACAAAAATCATATTATCAATACATTATACCAGGGGTGAGCAACCTTTTTAATCGATGGGCCAATTGAAATTTTTTTTGGCGGGCCGCGCATATATTAATTCTTATTAATAATTTACGAAACTTTATTTATAATGAATATTTGAATAAAAATACAAAACAAAAAAAAGTAAATATTTCATATACAAATTTTAACGCAAAACACAACAACGCAAATAAAACAAGAAAAGAACAGAAAAACGAATTCGTGGGAGAAAGTCGAAAAAATAAATTCAATTTTAGTAGTGATTGGCAGGCCGCGTGTTGCTCATCTTTGCATTATACTATGTTGGAGTCACAAACTGTTCTACTTTCGTGTTTTCGTTCAATAGATCGACGGTGTGAATGTTGCTGGATAATGTATGGAATTTATACATACATATACCTTCTTTATGTGAGAGCATCATGAAGATACATACATACAGCGCGCTCTAAGTTCTTCTTGCATTACTTATATTCCTGTATTCTACAAATATGTATATTCAATACAATTCTCTGTTTTTTTTTATACGAATTTTAATTACATCATTGTCGTTTATTGGATTTCATTGTCTTTGTATATTTAACTAACTTTTGTCTGAGGTTTCGGCCGCGTAAAAGTCACTTTTTTTAGTTTTTGCGTAGTTGGGTGGACGAACTCACAGCCCAGCTGGTGTTAAGTGGATACCGGAGCCCATAGACATCTACAACGTAAATGCCGCTACCCACCTCAATTTTAAATATATGTATGTGTATAATAAAAATCTTATATTTATTTCCGTTAACTGGTACCTGTAACACAAGTTCTTTACGAACTTATCACGGGACCAGTTAACGTGGCGTGATTGTTAGTAAATATTTATTTATTTATTTATCTTTCGATATTTATAATTTTGTGAGAACTGCGCTTAGTACATCCGATAACCCTATTCTGGGAACAAAAAGTTGACAGCGTACAAACAAACTGAATTTATGTGTTTAAAGTCTGCGAACTCTCACTCATATTTCTCCCCCATTATTAACTAGACCACATTTCACGTAAGCAATGATTTATCCTTCGAAACCTGTAATCTGGGCGTCCCGAAGCCAGACTTAAATTAGATGTCAGACCTAGATCCAGTGTTGCAATAACTAGGCTTTATCTTTCAATAGACGGTAGTGAAATGTAGATCGTTTTTGTAGGATTTATCGGAGAATTTTTCTTTGTTGGTCAGGTGTTTGAATAAGTTCACTGCATAAAAAAGGTATTAAAAAGCTTAATTTACGGTTGCCTTGTTTGTTTTTGTAAGCTATGCGTCGTTTATTCGATTGAGTTAAAATTCTGTGCAGTTACCATCAAGTCTTTTATCTCCTACCTATGCTGATAGCCTTGAGAGGCTATTTCAGCTTCACCCTAACGTGTGTAGGCGAGCTCACGGGGCTCAAACCGGAGTGTTGCTAACACTGACCCTAGCAAGAGTAGTGCTATCAAGTCAGGAAGGTTTCTGGTATGGTTATAAAAGTATGACAAGCCGCGCTAAAGTCGTATACTAGTGTTAATCGTGGGCCAGACTGATTGGATGAAAGAAAACCTTTACGCGAAATTTTGTGTCATTTTTTATCGAAAAAAAATATAGAAATATGTAAACATCCAGTTGTGTTTTTTTCTAAGTTATGGCCTGGTAACGAGACCTTTAAGCCAAATCTCTTATTTTCTACTTATATTCTGTTATAAGCAGAACATTTAAGTGTACACAACGGAATCACATTTTAAAAATATTTTAATTTCAAATGTTCCTAATTCAATTATCTTTGTATTTTTTTCGTTTTTATTTTTATTTTATTGAAATGTATAATAAAATCGAAACAGATTTTTTATCTGTTTCGATACATGAGCGTTTAATTTTTATTAAAGCTCCGGTAACTATTGTTTGATTTACAGATAAACATAAATGATTAGACATAAGATATTGAAAACGTAACATTGTTAATGTTTCTATTTAGATGGAAACCGTTACCAGATTTACATGGGCATTTTGCCTTGGATATAAATTTAATAGGCTTTTAGTAACCCGCCGAGAACGTGCTCGATCCGGTTGACATATCGACAATGTCATCTTTAAAGTAAAGTAGCTAAGTCAGGGCTGCTACAGCCGTTGCTAGTTTTTATATATGAACGGACCATTGTTTTTTTTTCCAAAATTATAACGGTATAACATTAAGATAACGTGACAATCCTGAATGGACTATTTCGGAATACTAAGAAAGTTTGAAATCAGCAGACTGTTTAAATTTTTTTTGCTATCTATTACTAGTGATCTCGAGGGCTTATGCTAGCTTCACGTGAACGTGAACTGACATGGTTTCTATTTAAAGTTTCAATAATTATCCAAATGCACTTGAAATTGAGGTTCGATATTGGAGCCGTGAACCGGATACGCAACATCAAGTGGGTCGCGAACGAGTCCTTCACTTCATCAATAAGAAAGTGGGTGGTCAGTTTCTTGACCTATACAATAGAAAAAATTAATATACAAAGACTAACGTACAATAACGTGGCGAGCAATTGGAGAGACCTATGTCCAGCAGTGGACTGCTATAGGTTAATGCTGATGATGATGATGATGATGACTAACGTACAACATATAATGTAAATTAAAAGCATGCCCGTCTTTAAAAATCAGCAAATTTCAAGTAGTTTGCCTACAGGATAAAGATGCGAATTTTTCTAAAGAAAAACCGTACCTGCGTCAAAAATGACAGCAACCACCTCACGGCTTAATGTCTATTGGTTCCGTTAACAACTTCACAGTTGAACATAGTGAAATCGTTCCCTCATGTATTGGAGTTTGTTAGTCGAGAATTATGAAGTGCCAGCCCTACTACACCTTAGCCATATCGGCGTACCGAGGATCGTACTTTTATGAGCAACATCAGCAAGGCCCACCAGCGATTAAAATCTGACAAGGATTAATATTTTACGCGAATTGTTAATGGCAGTAAAGCTTAATGGTTTGGTTAAGTAATGGTAAAGATTCACGTGGTACCACTGTGAGCCAAACAAGTTTAACGAAAAAGCGCTTAGTTGGTGTATTAGGCTGTTTAAAGTCCACTGAATTTAACATAAAGATCTCTTTTTTTTGTGCTTTCTCCCAGTGGAAAGGATTATGAAAATTGTTTTAATCCACAGTGGCTTTAAGACGTAGGTCAAATTATTGCTTCAAGTACTTAAACCAGTTGTTTTGTGTTACATGGTTAATATCCGATAGATTTTTCCTGCTTAATCCATAGCCATTATAACGTGTATGCCACTTTTTTTTTTCTTTGAGTGCCTTCTCCCGGTGGAGAGGATTATGAAAATGTTTTTAATCCACAGTGGCTTTAAGACGTAGGTCAAATTATTACTTCAGTTACTTAAACCAGTTGTTTTGTGTTACATGGCCAATATCCGGTAGATTTTTCCTGCTTAATCCATAGCCATTATAACGTGTATGCCACTACCAACCTTGATATATGAAGTCGAAGTTTCAATTGAATTGTATAACTATTATCCCCCTCTTCATACTGCAATGCATTTCTGCTTCGCTCGAGAAATAGGCAGGATGGCGGTACCTACCAGTGCTGGCCTAGTATGCGCCCTAATAATTACATATTTAACTAAAAATGGTTTTCCCGTTTAATTTCGGGTGTTTAATGTAATTATATTATTTCCGTTTCGCTTACTGCGCAGTTTTCGTGGTCGCAGACGACTCGCTGAAACCGAAGAAAATACTTATAGCTTATTAGCTTATAGCTTAGCTAGTAGTAGTAGAGTAGCTTATAGCTTAGGTAATTACAAAATAAGGTAAAAAGCAGAAAAAAAAGCAGGATGAAAGTAGAGTTGTAGTGGTCAATTTTTGGAGTTTGGAGACATTCTGTTGATGAAAGAAATTAGTTAGGTGGTGGTAGGACATCTTGTGAGACCGCACGGGTAGGTACCACCAACCTGCCTATTTCTGCCGTGAAGCAGTAATGCGTTTCGGTTAGAAGGGTGGGTCAGCCGTTGTAACTATGCCGAGACCTTAGAACTGATATCTCAAGGTGGGTGGTCTATGGGCTCCAATAAACACTTAACATCAGGAGGGCTGTGAGCTCGTCCACCCATTAAAACTTGAATTCAGGTTCAACAGACCAGTTCACCTACCCTCAATATTGTCAAGCTTAGGCTCAGGACTTCCAATATGCGGTCAACTGTTTGTACTATCCGTATGAAATTTTCGAACGTGACTAATGTTTAAATTGACTGCAAGCTTCTAAATTGCCACGTTCTAGAAACTACCGTTCTGATCCCGCGGGGTTTCCGCGCGCTGACAAGCATCCGGAGACCGATCTCGGCTGTCACCTGCTTTGCTAACGGGAGCAGTAATGAAAGGATGTTTGGCTCAGCGTAAACGTCAATTACTAGACTTGTAAGACGTGGTTATATAAGTATTATCTGTGACTTTCCTATTTGCTTTTGAATTAAACAGGCGTTTTCAGTTTTTTGTTAAATTGTTTATTGTTTGCTGCCATCTTGTGACATGAGTTCTAAGACACAGTTTAAAAATACGACGCCTGCTTCACTCTTGAAACCGAAAGGCGGTCTGCTTTATGGCAGAAACGGGTAGGCTGGTGCTACCTTTGAAGCCGTCGTTGCCTAAAGGATAAACCGTCCGGTTCATTCGTTTTTTTTTTTATTGCTTGCAGGGATGGACGAGCTCACAGCCCACCTGGTGTTAAGTGGTTACTGGAGCCCATAGACATCTACAACGTAAATGCGCCACACACCTCGAGATATAAGTTCTAAGATCTCAGTATAGTTACAACGGCTACCCCACCCTTCGAACCGAAACGCATTACTGCTTCACGGCGGAAATAGGCGGGGTGGTGGTACCTACCCGTGTGGACTCCCAAGAGGTCCTACCACCAGTGATTACGCAAATTATAATTTTGCGGGTTTGATTTTTATTACACGATGTTATTCCTTCA